TGTACTCCCATTATCTGTTTTTGAAAAATTAAAATTGGGACCTCTAAAAAAGACCGGGACCATCATTCAGTTGACTGATCACTCGACAGTACATCCAAAAGGTGTATTGGAGAATGTTTTAGTCAAAGTGGATGAACTTATTTTTCCCACTGATTTTTACATTCAAGACATGGGTAATTTGCCCGTATCAGATAGAAACTCAAATATTTTAAGAAGACCTTTTATGAAAACTGCTAAAACCAAAATTTTTGTTTTTGCTGGTACACTTTCAATGGAAATTTGATGGTGATGTGGTGAACTTCAAAATAAATGATGATGAACTTCCTTCTAATGATTTTGCTGTTAATTTTCTGGATACCAATAGTCATTTGTCTGAGGATTGTTGTGGGTTTTCTAATCATCTTGTGCAAGAAATATTTTCAGACAAAAATTTCAGTTTTGGTGCATCAAGAAAACTGAAAGAAAAAGGCAAGTTGTGGTGGAGAAGGAGATGATTTCTGCTAAGGAAGAATCAGAAAAATCCGAAAAGAAACAAGCTTGGGGAGGAGAAGGAGTTGGTTGTTGTTAGGAAGATTAGAAAAAGAAAAAGACTTAAAAATCTGAAGAAAAACTTATCTGATAAAAATTTGAGGATTTTCCAGCCTTGTGTGTAACGGTGTATTCGGGCCGACCGACCAGCCTAGCCCAATACCGGCCCATATCCAAAAAGATCGGAGCGGGGAAACAAAAAAATACTGATCCAGTTGGCAATAGGTTCATACCGACCCGGTTGATCGCAATCCGTCCCACAAATCGACAAAAGACAATTGTCGGAACTTGACCCAAAGGGAAATATCAAAGCACAACATATGAGAAACAATATATGAGACATATCCCATAGATCGTGCATACATAAGATATTCAAATAAAAAATAGAGGCTATACACAAAAAAAATAGTTGTCGTTACCTGGGTAATGAATAAAGACCGGACAAAACGAAATACCTAAAAATAAAAACGGGCCTATAAAAGCCCTTGAAGAACAAATAGGAAGGTAAGTTATTAGAAGGACTCAATACTCTTTGTTATTCATTTCTTGAGCCTCATACAACATCTAACTAATTAGACATCAGAGAGCAACACCAGGGTCCAAACCTCCGTGTGGCTTTCTAACCTAGAGTTATCCACATTTGCAGCGTATCTTCTGGAATAATTGTTAGGAAGGGCAGACGAACGCCATTTCCAAAGTAGCCGGAGAACCACGTAGCAACATTGGCACCATCCGTGGGATACACGGGCAAAATTACTTCACATATCTGGTCTCAAATACTTATTCCACTAGACAGTAAAAAAAGCAGTACAACATGCCTACACAGAAGGTTTGGCACACAACAACCAAAAAACCCAAATACAAGGCGATGAACCAATTCTAATATATAGACATATCCATGACATAGGTATACATCAGATATACTACGATAGTGTAAGTTCAACTAAAATAATGTATGGCCATTGTTTCTCAAAGTTGCTGAAGGCAATGAGAAAGAAGCTTAAACAACCTGTTGCACATCTAACAAGCTTCACCGAGCATTCAGTGTGGCCCTTGGGAATATTGTCTTTGCCATTAACTTTACATGACCATCACACCCAGGCCAAGAACACTCATCTGCTAGATTTTATGATAATACAATCGTCATCACCCTACAATATAATATTCGGAAGAAGTGCAGTGAATTTTTTTGAGGCTATTGCATCAACAATTTATGGATTAATTAGGTTCCGGACCCCCAAAAGGGTATGGAACAGTTTATAGCAAATCATTGGTCGCAGTTACAACAACACTAATAGCAGAAAATGCAGATCCAATGGCAGGAAAGTTCCAAATACCACAGGATGGAATAGAGGTGGTTGCAATAAATGATGTGTAACTGAAACAGGGAATACAGATGGGAACATCATTAACAAAAACGCTAAGTGAAGAGTTAGAAAAACTGCTAAAGAAAAATACTGATGTGTTTGCTTGGCAGCCAACCGACATGGTCGGAGTGCCAACAGAATTGATTGAACACAAGTTGAATGACAGAACGGGAATAAAACCAATCCGACAGAAAAAAGGCCAATCCAAGGAACTAAATAAGGTAGCAAATAACGAAGTAGATAAGTTAGTAAACGTCAGGATAGTACGAGAATCGCGATTCCTTTCCTGGGTAGCCAACTCAACATTGGTGAAAAAAGAGCACGAACAATGGAGAATGTGTGTCGACTTCACTAACCTAAACAATACATGGCCGAAGGATTGTTATCCACTACCATCCATAGATGAGAAGATAAAATCCTTATACGGAAACAAATGGAAAAGCTTATTGGATGCATATAAAGGATATCATCAAATTCACTTGTATAAAGGGGATGAAGAGAAAACTTCTTTCCATACGGATAAAGGAACCTTTTGTTATACCAAAATTCCATTCAGATTAAGAAACGAAGGAGCGATGTTAAGACCGATTGTCGTACCCGATTTAAACAAATAAATTTTATCAGTGCTGGTTGCACTAAAAATATAGCACATGGAAACAGGGTCGAATCCTCAGGGACACAGCCTAATGGTCAATGCCTTTTTACATCAGGCACAATCTAGTCAAGAACCGAAATATAGAAGGGGGATTTGAATTAAACTAAAAACTAAAAAAATGCAGTGATATTAAATTAAACGAAAATCAATATTAAAAACAATTTTAGTTCTGCTGCGACTTTCCTAATAATGCAACTAGCCCATATCTGATTATTTGAGATGCGTTCTATTTAAGATAGTATTGAGAAAAACTAACAAACTCTAGTATAATCTCTTTTACCTAAACTAGTTAACCAAAATAAGCTCTTTGAATTAACCCTAACTTTTTACTGTCCAATTAAACAAGCTCTTAATTAAATCATAAAAATTGCATTAAGTTCTTTGTAAAATTCCTAGCAATATCCAATACTCTCACAAGCTCAGAAGCGTATAGATATGATTTTTTCAGTTTATAATAAAGTCAAAATCCCAAACACAGAACCGATTTACTACTTGTTACTTATTACCAATTAATTAGAACAATTACAGATTCTATTAACTAATTAACCGGAATGATTAAACCCTAATTAGATGATCAGTCTAACAAGAATTTAAAACCAAATATATTCATTAAGAACAAAACTGAAGAATCTAGATAGAAACAAAAATTAAAAATCAGATCTAATGATCAATCACATGAAAAGTACTAGTCTAATGCAGAACTGAAAACTATGGTTTTAGCCAGACATGGCTAAAATCTGATAAAACTACTAGAATTAAGCATAAAACAACTAATCTTACTAATCTAATTAAAGGAGATGATCCACAATCTTCAGATTTTCAGAAATCGTTGAAATCGGAGAAGAAACACCTCCAATATCGTCTTTTTTGTTGTCTGGAGCCTCATGAGTCGATTGGGGTATTAAATTCCCCTCACTAGAAGGTTATGTGGGTCTATTTATATGTCCAACAACAAAAACGGCGTGCATGCGATCACATGTATCAAAGTTGCGATCACATGTTTTGAAGAAAACGCGTCTTGGGCCTTTTTAATGAAGTAGTATACTATTTTGGAACTTTTTGGCAAAGATGCGATCACATGTTTTCATTTTTCTCTCCCAGATGAGTTTTTGACATGAAAAAAAACCTCGAAGACAAATTACGACCAAAAATGCGATCACATGGAGCCAAGTTGCGATCGCATGGACAAGACATGCGATCGCATGTCTCAAAAATTGTGCCTTTTATATCTTCATTCTTCATTCTAAGCTGTTCTTGATCATTCCTCAACATACTTCCTTAAATTAGACTCCAATTAAGCTTCAAACGCGCATCCAACTGCTCCAAAAGCACTACTCCACTCGAACTATCTGAAATTGACATAAAAACATGAGAAGTACGAGAGTTCTAATAGAATACATGAGCTAAACATTATTTAAAAAATGACATGAAAATGTACAAAATTTGATGCTAAATGATAATAAAAACTACCCTATAAGATGCATAAAATGACATCTAACAAGCGACATACCAAAGGCTAGTGGACAAAGTGTTTGAACCACAAATTGGCAGGAATATAGAAGTATATGTGGATGACATGGTCATCAAGATTCAGAACGACGATCTCTTCTTACAATACATCGAGGAAACTTTTGCAAATCTAAGAGTCATTAACATGAAGTTGAACCCCAAGAAATGTCTTTTTGGAGCAGAAGAAGGAGAATTATTAGGTCATGTGATCACGAAGGAAAGGATAAGAGTAAACCTAGAGAAGAAATAATATTTGTTGCAATTTCGCCGAGGACAGTGAAAGAAATGCATGCATGAAATGTAAATTAGCGGCATTGGGACGGTTCCTAGCGAAGTAAGCAGAAAAGACATTACCCTTTTATAAAACGTTAAAAAGGGTACTAGATAAAAAGAATTTTCGATGGATGGAGGAAGCAGAAGCAGACTTCAAAAAACTTAAAAAACAGTGCTAACAGAACTACAAGCTTTAACATCACCATTCTTAGGGGAGACTCTGACAATTTACCTTGCCACGTCAAAATTGGCAGCAAGTGCGGTGTTAGTAGTTAATAGAGGAGAAAATCAGGTACCTATATATATTTTTAGCCATATCCTACAAGGAGCGGAAATAGGGTAATTAGACATGGAAAAATTGGCATTATCACTGGTTAACACGACAAGGCGATTAAGGAAATACTTCCTAGTGCATACGATAGAGGTACCGACCAATTCCCCGATAAGGCAAGTGCTATTGAAACCTGAAAAATCAGGACAGTTAGCTAAATGGCATGTGGAACTAGGATAACATGAGATGAATTTTAAACCGCAAACCAACATCAAGACTCAAGAATTAGCAGACTTCATAACAGAAATAATATGTAACGAGGAAGTATCAACAATAGAGGGGCCACATGTCAAGAATAAAGACACAGAGCAGACTAAAAAAAGAAGGGACATTACACATGGACGAATCTTCCTGCGTCGAGGGAGCGGGTGCCGTCTTGATACTAACTAGCCCGACAGGAGAATACATAACATACGCATTGCGTTTTGACTTCATCGCTTCGAACAATGAATTAGAATATGAAGCACTAATTACAGGGCTACCACTAGCAATCAAAATGGGTTGTGAGCACATACACACTTTCATAGATTCAATGATTGTAGCCAACCAAACGAATGGTTTGTACGAGGTAATGGGAAGAAATCTAATGCAATATGCGAACAATGTAAAGATATTAACAAAGCAATCCAAAACCTTCAAATTGCAACACGTACCAAGGTCAAAGAATAAACATGTGGATGCGCTGAGCATGTTAGCTTCATCAACATTCTCACACCTCGCAAAAAAAAAGTGGTAGTAGAAGTAGTGTAAACGAAGGAAATAGAAGAATCATTGACGGTGTCAATAGTTGGCGAATTGAGCGACGGGAGGAAACCAATAATGAAATATTTAGCAGAGGTTAAGTTACCTCAAGACAAAAAAGCAATCTAGGAAGATAAGAATTAAATCACCATATTTTTTAATACGAAATAGGGTGTTATACAAGAAAGGTTACTTAGCACCTCGGTTACAATGTGTCAACGTTAAGGAAGCAGATTATCTCATAAATAAAATGCATGAAGGAATAGCGGGAACAAGAACAATAGTGCAGATAATAGCTAGGTTAGGGTATTATTGGGCGACCATGTACCAAGATACGAAAGACATCATATATAAATGCGGGAAATGTCAGAAACACGCACCAATACCAAGGAAGGCGGCGACACCAATGATCAGCATTAGTAGTCCCTGAACATTTGCGCAATGGTGCATTGATATAGTAGGAACATTTCCAAAAGCACTAGGCAAAGTAACATACCTGGTGGTAGTAATAGATTATTTCACAAAATGGGTAGAAGCAGAGCCACTATCAACAATAATCGGGCACAATATCATAAAGTTATTTTAGAAGAAAATCATATGTCGGTTCGGAGTATGACATACACTCATCTCGGACAACAGTATGCAATTTGCGAATAACCCATTTCGAGAATGGTGTGAAGATCTCTGCATAAACCAAAGATACATCCGTAACACACCCTGAAGAAAACGGTCAAACAGAAGTCAGTGACGGGACAATAGTTCATGGCCTAGCAACAAGGCTAGACGCGGCTAAAGGTCGGAGGGTGGATGAATTACCGAGTGTATTGTGGGCATACAGGATGACTCCACGAATGACAACGAAGTTGAGCTGAAGAAGAGCCCTACATTTACCAGTTAACAATCTGGTTGGGCACAGTCGAGCCAACGACTTTAAAAAAGGGCGGCTTTCTGGGAGACAACCCTATGCGTAGTTTTATTTTTATGCTTTGAATAAAAGTCGGTCGCAGTTCCAAGCAAACTTGGGGAAATTAGAGGATCTTCTGAATTGTTAAAAATCAGATTTTTCGCTAGAATCTTTGTCAAAATCACAATTTTCTACAAACATATCACATACATTCTTTACTAGCTACAACCTTTTGCTTTTATATATTTTATTAAGATGTGTATTCCTCTTTGAGCATTGAGGAAAATGCTTTCTTTTAAGTTTGGGGAAGGGGTTAGTTAAAAATTTGCATTTTGTTAAAAATCTTAAAATTTTCAGTTATTTTTTTTGATTTTATTGTCCGCTTTGCATTTTTGAAAAAAATTATGAGAAAAAGTTCAAAAATATTTCCAATTTATTTTTCTGTTTTCTGCATTATAAAAAAAACCCAAAAAGATTTTTTTTTAGTTTTTAGTTTTATTTTCTGCATAAAAAGTAGATCAAAAAATCATTATATCTAAAGTTTTCTAGTGTTATGTGGGATAATTTGATGAGAATTTTAAGATTTAGTTGAACCAATATGTTATAATATATTTGTGACTTCCTAGGTCTAGTGAAATCATGAGACAAAAACGCGAACTTGTGTAGTTTTAGGGACATAATATGCTTTGCATCATGTACTGAAATATATACATGATAATTTATGTAGTCATTGCACTTTAGAGTAATACATTTGACCAATAAAGGTTGAGGTTAAATTTCCAAGCTTAAACATATGTTTTTCTTTTAGGTTTTTAGTTGAGAGAAAAAAAGTGAATTATGAAAAAAAAATGAAAAAAAGTTGTGAAAAAGAAAGAAAAACAAAATGGAAAAAAAAGAGAAAAAAAAGTTATTGAGAGAATAAGAGTTTGCAAAATATGAATATTGTGAGAAAGTAAGAAATGAGGCAAAATTGCCAAAAGCCAAAGGTTTAGTGAGTCAAGTTGTAAATTTTCTTTCTAGGTTATTTTATCGTACGTATGCCTAGGAATTTCACAAAAAATACATTGAGGTCAAGAAAATTTTCTGATGTATTCGGAAGGATGCAAAAATGAATGTTGTTTAAAATAAGTGGGGAACGTTTATGAGGAATGTGAGTATATAGGACTTGAGAAGTAATTATGATTTTAGACACAAATATATGCATTGAGGTGATACATAATTGGCGAATTCAAATTGGATTATTCTGTGTGATGTTGTTGAGAAAAGTTTTAATGTGATGAATTGAAAATTATGACATAAATCTAGTTTTTAGTTATTAAAGTTTGAGTTATTAGTATCCTTATGTTTATTTCAGTTTTTGTTCTAAGTTCATATTTAGGTCATCTACATCTTTCCATTATGTTTATAATGTTTAATCTTTTTATTACTTGACGGCAAGTAAGGTTTAAGATTGAGAAGATTTGTTAGATGCCATTTTATGCATCTTTTATATTAGTTTTTATTAGTGTTTTGCATTATATTTTATGATTTTTCATATGCATTAGTTCAAATAATGTTTAACTGATGTTTTTCGTCAGAATTTCCGTAATGTTCATGTTTCTATGTCGTTTTCAGATATTTCGAGTGGAGTGGTGATTTCGAAGCAGCTTGGATGCATATTTGGAGCTTAATGGAGCTAAAACACTAGAGGAAGCTGGAATTTGGGTTAGATTTGCTGAAACTGAAGAGTCCGCGTCCGAATTGCACGTTTTTTAAACATACGCTTAGCAATTAACATTGTCAATCTACATTCTAGGTGACGCATAACAAACAATTCCATGGGCTATAAGGAATCACATATATCATGCAACTCCATCATGCAATTTATGAAGAGATCCTTAGCCCTATTCTAGCATGTAGTTCACATTATAGCATACTAAAGCATAACATTCATGTATGAGTATTTTGGGAATCAGTTACTTGAGTTCGGATGATTGCACGCATCACACCCCTTTCGTTGTAGCAGTCTTTTAGAAAATTTTGTTTTATTACAAAAATATTTATCAACTCCTCAGTTTGAGTTCAGACATACCCGAGAGTGTACCTGAATCCCTCAAACCAAGGCTCTGATACCAACTTGTAATGTCCCCAAAATACTAGATACGATTTTGTTTTTAAATCAACCCAAACATTAATTCATTACTTTCAAAATATTGATGGTATCAAAAGTATTTCCAATAACATCATAGTAGTAACAAAATCATAGATATGAAATCTCATGTGGATGCGATGAAATCATGCCAGACTCTTCCTCTTGGAACCATAAGTACCTGAAATGTTTAAACCACAAAATCGTAAGCACAAAACTTAGTAAGTTCCCCAAAATACCACATACTAATATATAACATAACAAGTCTATTACAACCCAAGAAGATGATATGGGATGAATCATAGTCTTACTCTCTACCATGGACTAAATCATCGTTTTTACTTGTACAAGTGCCAGGGGCCAGATCCTGGTCTTCTATACAATTTCCAGGGGCCAAACCCTGGTCTTTCATACAACTGCCAGGTGCCAAATCCTGGTCTTCCATGCAAGTATCACAAAGACAACTATCATCCTACATAGTGTAGTGAGAAAACTCACCTCACAACATAGTCAATAACTAATAAGCTCACACAGCCAAGAAATGGGTACTACACACCTCCTACCGAATCACAGAAGGTAAACCCTTAGTCTACCTTTTAAAACTAGCATTCTACAAAAAGCCAACCCTAGTCAAAAGTCAACGATTTAAAAGTCAACGGTCAAAGTCAACGTCAGTTGACCTCCACGTCATGTTCATCCATTGGCCACGTCGTGGAACCTTCTCGACAAAACAGTCGCTGCCCGGCCAGACACCACGTCGTGGAAACTCGACAAAACAACTTTATGGATTAAGCTCTTATCCAGTTAATCCAAGAGCTCCAAAGCTCAAATCTGATTCTCCTTAACGTTTAGATGGATAAAGTTTCAAACTTTATCCATTAATACAACCCAATAAGTCAAGATCTTTAATTATAAGCTCTTAATGGTTGCACCGAATGCATGGACAACATCCTAAGTCATGCATGACCACTTTCCAACCAACACCATGGTCTAGAAGCAAGATAATACACTCAAATGCTCTGGAGTTCACCTAAACGCCAAGGACAAGAAAATTTAGGACTAAAAGCTCATAAAATGACCTAATATGAGATCTTGAGATATAATGGACAAGGTTGGGCCTTTATACCTCACAAGGTCAGAAATGAGATAAAGATGCTAGATCCAAGCGAAAACCAAGCTTCCAATCCACAAGCTGGGCTCCTTCTCCTTCTTCTAAGCTTCACAAAATGGCTTCAAGCTCTCAAAATACACACAAAGAGGCTAGGGTTTGGGTGGAGGTCGTTCTTAGAGGGTGGATGCTGCCAAACAAGGCAGCCCTAGAAGTTAATGCCTTTAAATAGGGCACCATCCCGAAATCTAGGGTTTTGAACCCTAGTCGCCGCTATGTCGTGGCCAAGACCTTGCCACGTCGTGGAGGTTCACGAATGCACATTTTCCGGAACCGAGCTGCCACGTCGTGGCCTAGGCAAAATCCCGAAACTCAATAAATGAAATAAAATTCGAAAGTTCCATACCAGGAAACGGATGTTACAATCGGTAACTTGATTCATAGAGGGGTGTCTATTCAGTCACCTGCCTAGCCTGCAGCCGCCACCCGGAATCCTCTGTGCACCTGTTCCTCAGATACTCGACTGCTCTGGAGCTTTTGGCTAGGTTGAAGAGGAACTGGCCTTTTCTTCCTGATCTTAACCATTGCAGGGATGTTGACTTTCTTTTTAATGGTGTTGCCAAGCCCAACTAGTCCAATTTCGACAAGATGAAATATGAGGTGGTTATAAGAGCCTTCTTGTGGACTCTTTTGTGTAACAAGAACAATATCTATTTTAGAAACTCTGTTAAAAACATTTCTAGTTTAGTTGTTAATGTTAAATGTTATTCCTTGTGGATGAGCATTATAAGCAAACTAGGAAAAGATCTCGATTTGGACTTGTGGTTGTAAGGTTGCTTTGTTTCCCTTAGGGTTGTTTGCTAGCGCCTTACTAGTTCTAAATGAAGTTCTGCTGTTAAAAAAAATCATGCGCCTCACTAACTTGTTAAAATGGATTGAAGTGAAACTTTATTGTGTTATGTTGTATTGAGATGTTAAAGATGTTATAATTTAGGCATATGCACTAATCAAACATAAACTTGAAAAAAAAAACATCAAAAAAACAACATACTCAAGATTTAGGCAAATAACTAACATATACACTAATCCAATCTCTTAAAAATCATATACATCAAAACTTCGTAAATTTACATAAACATCATAATTTCACCTATAAATTAACATAATAAACTATTGATTACCATAAATTTTTGGCCATAATAACTAATCAAAATTTCATAAATTCATTCAATGATTCATTCATAATTAAACAATATATTAACATAAACTCATACATAAATTTACAATTAGCATAATATCATCACTATAAAACTATTATAAACCGAGTAGGCAGATCATGGGTGAGGGCCGGGGCCTTTTTACCTCATGATTTTGCTGGAGATGAATGGGAGAGACAAATGACATCCGATCGAGGGTAGGAGTACTCATGCTAGGGGGAGAGACTGCTCCAATTAAGTGTGGATGTTAGGAGGGAGAGACCACGGCCGAATCGAAGCCGAGAACCAAATGTTTACATGAGAAAACTTGTGGTTATCGTACGTAACTAGTTTACATATGGAATATATTTTCTGTACGCCTCAAAAAATTAATTACTAACATAAATGAAGATCTCTAGCTATATCATCCTGCCAATAAACATCTATTGCTACATAGGCCCAAAGAAACCCTAATTTTGGGTTCCATTAATTAATAATGTACAAACACACACTTTGACCACGCAAAATCATGCATGATCATGGTTTGCCATATTGTTTTGCCAACTTTGCAAGAACCCCAACCGCACATGAATTGATATACGTGCATGGCTCGGTCATGGAGGAATTAACCCGTGCGTCCACAAATCTATCCGCCCTGTCCGGTCCACCAAGGATGGCACCCGTTAGCTCATTAGGGTTTGGTTTATCTGTGTTGTACCAGTAAACAAAGCTCATCCCACAGTTTACATCATCCTTTGCATCCACCGGCACAGATGCACCTCTATGATGCGCATGCAACGGTGGGTCCTTTCCAAACCCTACCATCATCGACCGCTTTACTGGGTTATTCCCCAATAAATAATCCATCTGCAATTTCATAAAACTGAACCATTTAGCACTGAATGATTACATCCTCGATCTTAATGGTTAAGATAATGGTTCTATATATCAAACATGCTGAATGCTGACTATTCAGAGGTTATCAAATAGCCCCAAACATTATGTTCAAATTAGATTGTATGCAATCAATTAGTAAATATAGACATTTATACATAGAAATACCTGTTTCTTGGCGAAATCCATGATCTGTACACACGTGAAACGTTTGTCACCACATGTGACTTCCATTTTGTGTCTAGCTAACAAATCACTGTAAACACTGAAAAGAAACGCTGTGGATGTCACATATTGCGAATTTGCACCATCTCTTAAGTGAATCAAACCTCCTGCATGCATGCAAACATTTCTTACGATTTATCTATATGAGTATTTGGATGGATAAGCTTTGAGCCGAAAACAGATTTTGTAAAAGTGTGATCAGACCTGGGGTCATGAAAACTTGACGATAAGGGCTTCCAGGAAGAATGTTACATACAAATCCATCAGCTTGTTGCTTGAACGTCTGTAAATCCTTTTGTCCTTCCCAATATAACTGTTACAATCCATTATCGAAACTGTCTTGTGTCAAAACAGATGAATCATCATGCATAACGTTACAGATAATAATAATAATAAAACCTAGTAATTGATTATTCGTTAAAATCGATACCTGAGAAAGAAGGATCTGAGCACCAGCAAATTTGAGGTCCCAGCTGAATTCAGTAACAACGGCGGTGGTTGACTCCTCTTGTATAAATTTCAAGTATATTGGCCTCTTTGTTGCAATGTATAGCCATGTTGCCCCCCATAGTAACTCATCCTGCAAATTCATTCATTTATCTTACATATATCAACTCCATTTTCTGTAAATTATTATCACCCCACAATATTTGTAAACTGTATTACGTAAGAAAGTCGATGGAGAGAGATTATACACGATAACCGGAGAATGAGCAATAGAAAGGGCATTCACCATCGAAAGTTCCCCTATGTTCTTGAGCAAATTGAAAAAGCTGCAAATGAATCGAATCGATTTCTTTTTTTTAATATAAACAAAACTAACACCCATAAAAACACGTATACCAAAATTAAAAAACTTGAAAAAGAAAACCTTTTTGGCTCCATTTAGAAGCTTTTGAGAATAGGGTTGATCGACACCCCGAAACACAATTGCTGAAGCAGCCAAAGCAGCAGCAGTTTCAGCAGCAATTTCAGTTCCGGGTTTTTTTTCATTAAGTTCCAAAACTGGTCTTGCTGATTTCATCTTTTCAGGCCTCATCCAACACTTGTGATCTGTCACCGGATCTCCGACCTATTAATTTCATTTCAGAAAAGTCAAGAATTCTGATCGAATGAACAACATAAAACGTATGTTTGAGAAATTAATTAATTAAATATACGTTGATTATACCTGAACAAAGAAACGATTACGTAGACTACTGGCTTTAAGAAAATAATCGGTACCCCATCGGATAGCATTACGAACATTATGTATTTCTCCGGCAGCGGTAAGCTCCGGCTGATAAAAGTATGCAGCCCATGCCAATGTGGTCACGGTGAACGCCATCGGGAAACCATACTTGACATTATCTCCGGCATCATAGTATCCGCCGGCCAAATCTACCTATAAACACATCAAAACCAAAAAAGTCAAAACATTATAATTACGTGTATGTATATGCATATGAATTGATGCTTTCGATCGAAGGCTTACACCGGCTGCTTTTCCATCATTGAGAGCAGAATCTCCTCTCCATGGAGGCCTAGGGTGTGGAGGAAGCTTCCCGGACCTTTGAGCTTCCAAGAAAATTATGGATTTCTTGAGGGCGTCTTTATAATCAAAGTTGGCATTTATACACACCAAGAAGCTTGAGAAGAGAGTCAACAAGACCATCAAACTGCATGAATATTCCGCCATTGAAGAAGAAGCTCGATCCTTCAAGAACAAAAGATTATGGTACGTGGTTTTGGCGGGAAGGTTATGAAAGAAATGAGTTTGGTTGTTTTTGGTGGTTGAAAGGGCCGGGTTTGAGAGTTTTACTTTTAACACATGTTTTTGTATGGCTAGTAAACGTAAAAATGCAATATCCACACATACGTCCTACTTTCATTTATTGCCGTTTATTTATATTAAGCATATAAAGTTAGACTTTTATTTAATTATTTGTCATTTTAAAAATTAGATTTATATGATTAATTAGTTTGGTTGTGATATTCACCTAAATTTGTCACGTGTTTATTTTTTCAGTTACAAACTGAACAAACTTGAATATTGACATTTGACAGTTACAGACGTTTGAGTTTGCCTTTAGATATGCATGAGTACTTATAGACGTTTGAGTTTCTCTTTTGTTGTGGTTATAAATTAGTATAAAAGATAAATTGGTAAATTTAGTATAAGTCGGCAAAAGACCGAATTACAGTTTAAATATAATTTCATCTCTACATATAAGACTTTAGGCAATTAGGCTATGCAACTTTACATGTGGTTAAAAGTGGCGAAATTTGTATCTTTTACGTAAAGTTGGATCTTATATAATGTTAGAAGCATAAGAAAGTAAAAAGATATTGGTAAATTAATAAGTTGATAAGGACGTTGGTGGCTGTGATTGCATTGCATACATTTAGAAGTTAAAAGTGATGTTGAAATTACGAAACGAAATAATCGGATTGACGGAAGAACGCAAGTAACTAAAATCTTTGTTCTCTATAAACATTAAATTCTAATTCTAAAAAAGAAACAAAGGTTTTACTTTTCGTTTCGTAATTTCAACATCACTTGTAACTTGTAGCTTCCAAGTGCATGCAAACTTGGCCGCCAACGTCCTTCATCATTTAATTATTTCGATTTCGTAATTTCTATAAAGTTTTTGGAACAATTAACTAAATTGTACATAAAATACAAATAAATAATAATGAGAGAGAGGAGAGCAAGGGTAACCAGAGTAATAGTTAATTACATGTAGAAATGACGACCGACCGAGTTCAAACTAGTTTTTGGTATCCCTTCCTCGACACCGATAAGATTTTTGCCCACGAAAACCAAACTGATCCCCATTAGGGATCTTAAAGGGGATCATTATCCGGTTAGGGGCTGTTTGACAGGATTTAAATTTTTAAAAGGTCTAAATTTTTAAAAGAATCTGAATTTTTAACACGCTAGTGTTTAGTTGGAACATCATAATCGACGTGTTAAATTATACAAATAATCATTTTACCCTTTTGTATTTTTTGCTGATGTTTCTATGTGTAAACTAACCGAACCAACTTCTTGAATATATATATATATATATATATATATATATATATATATATATATATATATATATATATTCAATAGAGAACCATAATTATAAAAGAACCAATGAACCAATCGTGAGCGTCGGAAATCATAATGATCATCGGCCAAGGAAATAGATGTACACTTGTATATTGGACGCACACACACAAGATTATACCAAAAAATTCACATCCTTACCAAAAAAACCTATCTCCTTACCAAAAAAACTCACCTCTTTTTTTCGTTTGAATTTTTTTACGTTATATTTTTTATCGAAAAAAAAAACCGAATATGCCGTTGTTAACGATTTTACGTCATCTTTCCATAGAGATCTATGTTGATATATAAAAAACGATTTTTTTTGGAAAAAAAATCCACTTCATTTTGTTATGTTTTTTCAATATTTAAGTTTATTTTTATCCAAAAAAACCTAATTATACCAAAAATATTAATTTTTTGTACTCTATTATTAAACATCAACACCGATTAAAAAAAAACTCGATCAGTGCAGATTCACACTGTAAATATCTCAATTCGTAACATTCACAATGTGAAAAACTCAATCAGTTCAGATTCACACTGTGAATCTAAATTGTAAATATTTCAATTTGTAACATTCAAAATGTGAATTTGACTTATTATTTCAACTTTTTGATCATTCGCAAATTAACTAAAATTTAGATATGAATCAAAATATATTTAATGTCGTTTTATAATATTTTAATGTAACACCCATAAAAATCAGACCAAATTTAAACTTTTTAAAACATTTTGAAACCAACAGTTATTACCAATTTGTTTTCAAAACAGTTCTATATCAGAGTATCCCAGAAACATAGTCATAAAAGGTGAGGAGCTATACGATCACGCCTTTGCCTTCTTACGATCATCTGGTGTACCTGATGCAATAAACTGAAACTGTAAGCCCGAGGCTTAGTGAGTTCCCCCAAAATACCGATACACTGAACATAACACATATACAAATAACAGCATGTACTGGGTCCACAACTTTACAAACTGGATTACCCCTGGGCCCACAGTGTGAGTCTGGGTTGCCTTCCGGGCCCACAGCTCACATCTGGATTGCCACCGAGGCCACAATACGAGTCTCCCTCAGCTCATAACTGGAATGCTCCCGAGCCCACAGTACGTGTCTGGCATGCCCCACCTAGCCCTCAGCTCGTATCTGGAATGCTCCCGGGTTTGTTGGTTACCGCACGAAGCAGTATCACCTCAACCTATCACATATAATATGTCGACATATAACACAACTAATTCACATACAGATGATCACATAATACTACAGGTAGTCCTACAAATCTACCTAACTGGCATAGCAACTATCATGCAACACTAACTCATACTCAACATACTACCACTGCTAGGATATCATATCCAATGGCCCGGCCTTGGTGCCTTAGACCCCTTAGTATAGTGAGGTAACTCACCTGGCACTACTGAAGTCCCGCGGATGAAACTCCAGTTGCTGGTTGACAGATTCCCGAACTGCCAATGTAGAGACCCATTTTTATACGAACGGTGAATGCGGAAGTAAGATCTCTCGAGATTAATCGTGTTTTTGTAAGTATGAACACGAAGAACATATTATAAGTTCATGGAAAAAGGCTAAGAACAAAGAGAGATAATAATATTAATGCATGAAGAACATGGTGGGAGAGAAACTCTCCCTGGGTGGGAGAACCCACCACTTTTCTCTCTCTCTAGATTACATTGTAAGAAAAATAATCTCTAATCTAAGAAAAAGTGAGCTAGCTAAAGTAAGAAATGACCAACTCTCCCTTTATATAGGAGGGAGAGTATTTACACCATAAATACAATAAAGGGAAAATACAACCTAATAAACACTCATTATTTGTGGAGCACTTCCATGCACCAACATTCTCTCCCTAAATGCTTACAATGATGAGAGATACAATAAGTGATACAAGGCTATAATACAGTAATCCGACTAGCAAGTGTGGTAATAAAATGAAACCAAGTGCTGAAATGTCTCTGAAACTCTGAAGTGTCTGTGAAGTCTGAAACTGGTCATGAATCTATGAAATGAAGGTCTTCGGCTTCAAAGCACAACCAATGAAGCAGAAAAAATAAGATCCAAATCTTCAAACCAGTCATAATCACCGGAAGAAGAAGGTCACCATGAGCAAGTAGAAGATCCAATAAAAGAAACACTTCGGCTTCAAAAGTCTGAAAAACATCTCGAGTTCTCGAATCATAATACACCGAATTTCTTCAAAGAATAACCTGCTAAAAATGTGAAGCATCCATAAAATGAAGTCCGGATAAAAATAATGTGAGTCCAAAAACATGGTCCAGCAATGCCGAAAATTTGATCCAAGGACCAAAAATAAGTGCCACGTCACATTGCCAAAATAATCTTCGTCTTCAACATATCACAAATCCAAACTCGTGAAACCATAAGATCTGAACCGGATGCGAACACAAAATCATCCTGTGGTAGAATCCGAATAATAAATAATCTGAATCGGAAAACATCGAGTAATGCCAAAAATTTGATCCGTAAAGACCAAAAAGAAGTGCCACATCGCATCACTAAATAAATAATCGTCTTCAGAAGTCTTCAAAAATCCAAACTCAAACAATCATAATAACCAAATCCGGATGATATTATCTCCCTATTTTTGATAACCAATGACCGGATATCAAAAATCAACAAATCATCAGATGGAGAGTGTCGGATACCAAGAGCTAACAGAGAAGCTCTCCCTAGATGTATGAAGGGTCTCGATAAGAAACGATAAAGAGTAAAGGAGATACTCTTGCGGTCATGAGGAGGCGGGTGACATAGTTGCTGAAGCTGTGCTGAGAATAATCTGTTGTGCCAAAAATATATCCAAATATCCAAACTGCGGTGCCGGAACACTTGAAGTGGTCTTCAATAGAGAATAAAGTCCACATGCTCAAGATACATGATTCGTCAACCAAAAATCAAGAGCGACAAGTCATAAAATCCCATAAAGTGAAGAATGCGAAACAACTTTGTTGATCAATCGCCGTTGCGGTGCAAGCATCACAAAAAATAATATGAAGTCCGACGGCGGTAAGAGTATTCTTCCAATAATAACCGGCATGAAATGAACCAATGTGACAATCCAAGGTTCGGTCGTGGCAAAAATTGGTGTTAAAAAAATAATTGGTGTAAAAAAATAATTGGTTTAAAAAAAATTGGCTAAATAAAAATAATTGGTGTTAAAAAAAATAATAGCTGAATAAAAAAAATAATTGTCGTTAAAAAAATAACTGAAAATAATAATAATAATAATAATAATAATAATAATAATAATAATAATAATAATAACTGAATAAAAAGAAGTTAAAAAAAATAAGAGGGTTTTTTTTAAAAAAAAGGAGGAAAAAGGAGGAAGGAAGGGAATAAGGAAGGGAGGGGAGGAAAAAGAAGGAGGGAAAGAGGGGCTGAAGGAAGAAGGGGGTTGAACCGAGAGGGGAGGAGGGGGGCGCTGGAGAGAGGATCTGAAGTCTGAGAGGAGAGTTGCGGGTCTAGGAGGTGGAACCGGAGTGAGGGTGGCTTGGGTGGGAGGTGGTTGCGGATGGAGTGGGTTGCGGTGGGAAGGGTTGGGTGCGGATGGGGATAGGCTGCGGATAGAGGAAGCTGGTTGCTGATGGTGCGAACCGGGAAGCCACTGCGGACGAAGCATCAGAAGGCGCGTTGCGGTCTGAAATTGCGGTCCGAGCCACGAAGGCATGCGAAGCTGCGGTCTTGAGTGCCTTCGGTCCGGAAGAAGCGAATGGATGCGGTAGGGA